GAGCCAATAAGGAAAATTTTTAAAGTGTTTTAGGGACTGCTGCTTCTTGTTAATAGTCTCAAATAATTTAAGATTATTTCAATTTACCAAAGTAGTAAAACAGAAAAAATTAAAAAGCAGATGACTAAAAGAACACTTTTATAACCATATTCCTATAAATTAGAAAAATATGGTTAATGCTTTAATATTCAACCTGAAAGGATTATGCATTACCTCTTTTCCTGCTCCCATCTTTCCAACAAGAGCTTCAATCAAAAAACAAAAAATACTACTTGGTTTCCTAGAAGTTACCTATACCAAGCTTTGCTTCCTCTCCACCCCTTGGTAGAGAAACCAATCTGGTAACTGTCAGTTTTTCACAAGACAACTCTTAACTCCTCTACAAACTAGCAAGCTAAATAAGAAGGAAGTGTCCACCACAGAACAGGTGTGGATGTAGTAAATGCAATTCATTAGAAAAGAATAGCATTCAGTTACCGTTAGATACTTCTTTCCATCATTAACTCCTTTGGCTTGCAACTAACAAAGTCCAAGGTTACCCATAAAATGAGAAACTTATTAGGATTCACTAGCAGAAAAAACATTTATACAATTTCACTGAAACTAGTCATAAAAATGACTAGTTTTGTTATCAATCTGAATATAAGATAAAGAATTATTCCTTCTAAAATTATGATTCCACAAAAGTAATAAAAGTATTGTCCTTTTTACTAGGACATTATTTTCAATGACTAGTTTAGTTATTCACAGGATTAGTACTATTAAATAACATAATCAAATGACCTCTTTACTTCTAATTTGACCACATGATATGTTTTGCACATTTGACATATTTTTAAGGTCATGATTAGATGATCAGATGCAGTTTACTTCTACTAAGTACATTATATGTTACATTAAAAAAAAGCTCAGTTATGTTCAAGAAAAAAGCTAAAATTTTCAAATGATTTTATCTTTTTAAGCTAGCTCTGTGAAAGATACAGAGTTCTCAAAATTACTAGTTCTTCCAACTATTTTTTATCAACTAATTTCTAATTCATCATTGTTAACACCATAGTTAGCATCATCTCAATTATGTGAGAAACTCTGTAAATTGATCACTCAAGGGACTGCAACCAACTGGTCAACATATGGAGTTGGTCACCATAAGGAACTAGGCCTGCTGTATTGATACATACATGTGGTACCTGTCTGGTCTAAGCAAATTAGGTTAGCTGAAGGAAATGGTCAATATAAGGAAGTGGTCAACTATAGAGGTTCAACAGTCTATAGCATTATATACTATACACGGTGATTCATCACTATAACACTGTAATTGTATTCTTATAAATACTTAAAACACTGTAAAAAACTTAAAAACTTATAACACTGTAATAGTATTCTTATAAATACTTAAAACTATTTCTTCTAAGACATGAGCAAGGAGAGCACCAAAACAATAATTACCATGAACATAAATTCTACTCACCAGTTTGATTGCTACATATTCATTGGTGTAGAGATTTTTACCTAAGGGGAAAGCAGAATGTATAAGTTTTAGTGACAATTATTCTGGGAGCTGCAAAGTAAAATATTAACTTACAGGGTCATGAGAAAGGTCATATTCCTAATGCTGTTCACATATATGAAACATGATTTATAAGCGAAAAGCTAAACAGAGATAATGAGATCCAGCAAAACTAGAACAAAAACAGCTTGAGAATTTGGAAATTTATGCTACACATGAGAATTTTTTTTAAAGAGAAAACAAATCTCTCTATTGCTCTCACTCACACACATGAGTTCTTATTTAATATTTCCCAACTATTAAGCTAGGAGGTAAACCAAGAAGAAGAAATGCTAGAATTTCAAAGGTAAAGATCTTAACTCTAGACCCAATAAACACAAATCCTCTTCTAACTGACAAATAAAAAATTTAAAATGTTTTGTTATGATATTTAGGGTCAACTTTAGATGGCATACAGAACAGTGTGGGCTGGGGGAAGAGGCTCATGCCTATAATCCTAGTACTTTGGGAGACCGAGCCCAGAGGATTACAGTTCAAGACCAGACTGAGCAAGAGTGAGAATACACATCTTCCTTTTGGTGGGAACATTAACCTGTTAATGTCAGAAAACTTAGCCAGGCATGGTAGCATGTGCCTGTAGTCCCAGCTACTTGGGAGGCTGAGGCAGAAGGATCACTTAAGCCCAGGAGTTGGAGGTTGCCATGAGTTATGATGACACAGGATGCCACTGAACTCTTGTCAGGACAACAGAGCAAGATACTGTCTATAAAAACAAATAAAAAGAACAATGTGAAATTAAACCAATCACTGCCCAACATTCCTTTTGAAAAACTCATCTAATGTCTGTAAGTAGATGATTCTCAAAGCTGTTTTGACTGTTCACCAGAACTCTAGCTCTGTATGTATAGGAAACAGATCTATAACCAGACAACATTTGAAAATCTCAAAGTTCTTCTGAAACATCAATTTTTCCCCTAAATTCCCTTTTTATAAGTGGAATCAAAAGAATCTGGAGTTAGAACAACTATCATTTAGTAAATCCATATGACATGCTGAGTACTTAGTTCCTCTCACCTCTCCAACCCTCACTGATCCTTGAAGCCTTAACTTTAATTCCTTCTCAGTGCCTATCATATAGTTTAGCCATTACACTAAACTCCATATTGCTCCTTACACATTCATTTTATCTTATCCAGCTAGATTGTACGTATCTTGAGGGTATAGATTTTAATAGTTTTCTCAATGCCCTATAGTGATTAAGACCATGTTCTACACATATTAGCCACTCAAAATCTTAACTAATCAAAAATTATTGGTACTGGCTCAGCACCTGTGGCTCAAGTGGCTAAGGCACCAGCCACATACACCTAAGGTGGCGGGTTCAAATCCAGCCTGGGCCCACCAAACAACAATGACGGCTACAACCAAAAAAATAGCCAGGTGTTGTGGTAGATGCCTGTGGTCCCAGCTACTTGGGAGGCTGAGGCAAGAGA